TCGAATCTCTATTTGCATCTAACTTTGACTAATATAGCAATGTTTATTTCCAAATTGCAAGCCTTGAATTAAATTTTCTGTGAACGCAAAGGCATTCATATAATCAAATTTTATAGTGGACTGCAATAAAGCTGATTAAGCAATATAACGATGTTATCTTGATAATTCCTTTAATATCCCACAAAGCCATGTTAAGTCTATATCCACAAACGAGAATATATACAAGTGCATTGATTATTTAATTACGAACATGGCAAATCCACAGGTGCTAGTAGCTTCCCAAAAACAAACTTTTAGACTTTAGATCTACACATTGAATTTAATTAACTTCGGAAAACGAAGACGGTGGAACCGTTGACTATCTAAACTCACTTAATTACGTGTCTGTGATCAGGAAGTTACATTTCTAATTTCGGCAACGCTTTGGGCGATCGAAAACTAAACGATTTCGATAAAGAAAGTAAACCATTTTGGAATATAAGCAAATTTCTGCGTTCAAAACGTACTGTCATTTCTTCACTTACCTATCGAAGCAGCATGCTTTCTTTCTCAAACGAAAAAAGATCTTTTACAGAAAGACATTTAGAATATCATAAGATCTTTGCTAACTTCAGCTCTCCTGTTGAAAATCGTATGGTTGTTTCTGTAGCAGCGCGACTCAACTCACTTTTAGTTCATATCTCGGGGAAGCATTACATAAATGATGATGCCACTGAGTGTTTGGTACCTGATACCATGTCCCAGAAAGTCTCCAGGTTTTGATTACATCGAATATATAGGTTTAAAAAATACTCCTCATAAAGGTAGCCGACCTATTACTAGCATTATTAACTTATGGATTAAACTCCAATAATTTCCAAATCATTTAAAGTTACCCCTACTTTTAAGCCAGACGAATCGTCAAACGATGCCAATGGTAACAAGCCTAACAATCTCTTGAGCTATCCAAACAACGTCTTTATAAGGATTATTAAGGACAATTTATTCGGTTTTTAAAATGATATATTTTGGTTGCCTGCTTCTCGAAGTTAAATAAAGTTGAAGGTGTCTTATTGTGTGACTTTATCTGATTTGACGATTCAGGGTGGTCGAATTCCTTAAGTATTTGAGAGTTATACCCGATAAGAGGTTAATCTGACGCTATCGTATCCAGCAACAAATACAGCATTTTCACACGCATAAAAATGTTATACACGTTAATAACCAGAAATTCCACATTAAGTGCTCTGAACAAGATTCTCCTATGTAAAGACATTTTTTAATATTATTATTATCGTCGATTATAAAATATGCCCGTCCAGTATGAGGTAATTATGCAATAAAAATGTGCAACTATATTGGCCGAGTAGGCAAGAGTCTGCACTAACAACTCATTAGTGATGGGTTAGAATCTCAAGTGCGGTAGAGTTTTCAATACAGGTAAGCATATGATCTAAGTTATCTAAGCCTTTATAAACTTATTTACAAGATATATAGACAATAATAAATAAATTATTGAAAACGATGCTAAATGTCCGTAGAGACTTCTCTATTAAAAATTTCCGTAAGATAAGAAATGTTGGGTATATTATGAGCAAAATTAGCAAATTACAAAACAAAAAGTTATATCGAAATATCCACGTTCTTATATTTCAAAACAGTAAAAAAGTAGTAGGAGTAGTAGTAATACTAAAAAAGTAAACCCTAATATTACACAACAAACTATTTAACAAATTAATCTGTCATAACTACCTACTATATGTCTTCCGTTGAAGGTTTTTAGTTGCACATTTTCCTTCGTTATATATCTTATTCAGCAATGTATAATAGGTAGTATTTCTTTATTTCTTTGCGCTTATAACGACACAGGATTAAGCAAATAGGTAATATCCTTCAAAAAATATGTAAATGGTTCATGTTAATTTATTCCTTCTGCAACAAAACTGAAATTCAATTTCAACTTCAATTATGGCAGAGTAAAACCGTATAAGGAAATATTGATAATTTCAAGCCATAAGTTTTTAAAATCTAGATGAGGCTGAATTAAAATTTTGGAAATTTATATTTCCCTTCAGTCAAATATATTAACACCAAACACTGAACTAAATTAAAAAGTGAAAGAATAGCATGGTTATTATACTATATTTATTTCAGCTCTTATGGATGTATATCATTATTACATATTACGAATATATATATATATATATATATATGCAGCACTAACATGTGTTGCAACGCGAATCAAAGATCCTACTTTAATGAAAAGTAAAATCTTCCTTTTAATTTGCAATTTGAACTCTCAGTGTTTCCTGTTAAATTATTAGTAAAATACGTCATGCTAAAATTATACTTTGGAACGCAAATTCTACTTTGGGTAGGTAGTTAGCCAAGTTAAATCCGATTTCCCGAAATAAACGAAAGCGATTTGAAAAGAAAAATTTCAGGCCCCTGTCAACCTAATAGCAAACTATACTAATTAACAACGGTTACTTTTTTCACCATGATAACATATATGCAGCGTTATCAAATATAAATGTATATCTATGACTTTTACATGTTGTGGAACGTCAAATAGCTTTAAAGGCAGTTATTTATTTATTTATTTATACATGAAATTCAGCTTTCAGGTGAACATTCAAATTGAATCATGAATTTCTCTGCTTGTGTAAATAAAACCTTCATATAAACGGGAATAATTATGGCTTAGCATACATTTTAGCCGGTATGATTTATATTTCAAGGCCTTCGGTATCGTACATTTTCGAAGTGGCTTTTCAGATTTTACTTTGAAACACACAACTCGAACAAACTTTAAGAGTTAGATCGTTAATTTTCTGTTATGAATTATACATTATATTATACAGTATTGCTGAAACTTGTGGCGTACTAATTGAAGTTTCCATTATTTTGATACGAATGCCCTTGCTCTGTTAACTACGTCAGAAGGCGCAAGTCATATATTATTGCATTTAACATATTATATGTGTCAATATGGAATCACCACGCAGTTTCGCGCCTATCTGTTTGCAATGGTATAATGGCTTAAAAAAAATTAGTGTGCGTTGAAGTGTACAATAACAAAACAGAACACGATCGGCAGTAAGAAGAACAAATCGGCAATATTTCAAGACCAACATGAAAAAGGCGAACAAAAGTATTTACGAAATGAGCAGGTGAAAGGAGAGTAAAAAACAGGATATAAACACAAAATAAAGTTTCCCAATTCTTTTCGTCGTCAGCTTACGCTAGAGATTTTGTTGCTGAATGCTTCAAACCGCACTGCTGCACTTTATTATATGTATGCTTTTGATAAAGTGAACTATTATAATTTGATTGCATGTCCCTTCCAAGAGTACAACGAAAACTTTTTTTGAAAACACTCAATATATTATAATCTATTTTTCTGCGTTTTCAAAAAATGTTTTCTTTACGGTTTTGAAATGCAAGTGGGGTGGAGTAAATATGCTCTTATTTGTATAATATTCTTATGCTTCCAAAAACAAAATTTAACCATGTAATATGTGATGCATTGTTTATATATGAAATTTTTATGTACTTTGTTTATACACTTTTTATATATGAATAAATTATATGATGTTAATTTTCCCCACTTGCTGCTAATCATCACCGTGCTAGACGTACAGTCGACATGCTTTAAGTGATTGATCACTTTAAGAAAAAATATTAAGTTTTTCGCAGTCTCTGATGTTCCACTAAATATTTTTGCGCCTAACTTACAAAATACAATTTTCAAGATATTCGAACGAAGTTAAGCGCCCCGACATGTTTTGATCTAAGAACAAACGATTTGAATATGATTTGAAAAAGATTTTACGACCACTCCCTACTTAATACCGTATTTGGGAAAGCAATTACACGAAAAAAAACTTGTAATTTTTAACGTTTCCCAACAAAAATCAGCGAAAAATGGTATTTTGGTATCTCCTTAAAAAATGCCAAAAATTTGAATGAAGTGATGCCATTGCTTGAAATCCCTTCTATACGAACATCCTTACTAAATATGAGTCTCTTAACTCTAACAAGGTCTAACTATTAGTATTTTAATAAATCCCAAGTTATAGATAGTGGCAGACAGAGTGATGGATGTACTATATTGACCATTAATGCTTTCATTGATATTCAATTACTTAATTGATGAAAATTTAAATTGCAGGACTAAATAAATGTCAGCTATTCCTTTGGTAAGCCTTAGTTAACCATTTGACTGTATGAAGTAGTGAGAACAACAAGACTTACCAAGGACAATGATTGTTATGTGATGTAAATTTCATTTAGTTTCTTTTATGATGTTGACGAATTACCAACATCCAACTGCCGTAGATTTTCTGTTTGTACAAAATTGTCGCAAGCGACGCTAATTGTTATCGCGGTACAAGACAAAATATTTTCGTGCAATATCAAAGAGTAGCGTTAATAAATACTGTGCTCAAAAAACATTGAATAGGTGGCTTTTCAATAGCATAACAACTCATACTTCAAATAGCATAATTCATTCGTTTTGTTCTGATATGATTAAATAATTATGATTTGAAATCTTCTTGTTTTCAATAGACTGTTTATCTCTAGAAACAAATAATTTCTATACGAAATCAAGCATTACTCAGTTTTTTTCGTTATATTAATGAATTTTATGATACTCTATTATATTAAAAAGTAAGTTATTTTAGAAAATTAGAAATATGTTACATATGTATGTGTATGGGTGTAACGGTAGATGTAAAGAGCTCTAACTTGCCGACATAGTCAGAAAGGAACTCAATCAATGAATATCAGCAAAATGTAAGAAAATGTAAATAATAATAAAGGCTGTTTTGTTGTTGCTTTCTAAATATCATTTGGGAAATAACATAAAAACAAACATAAAAATGAAATTATAAAAGCAAGATTCAGGGATAAGACGAAATGAGGATGTACCTCAATTCATCATATTAAAATAAAAATTCAAACAAATTAACAAACAAACAAACATTTGAAAAAATGATATAAAGAGAAAGGCTTACAGCTTGATCAGTAGAGCTTTTACTGTAGGGTACCGGTATCAAGCGTTCTTGCAATTCGCCACCTATAACCTTTAAAATGAAGAAGAGATAATATAACTATATATGGTTTGCGGTACATATCAGATTATTTTCGTCGGTTTTAACTTAGTATAAGTAAATAGATCGAAAGAAAAATTAGAATATAAATATGTGATTTATATGAATATAATAAAGAATAATTATTATTGCTCTGAGATAGAAGAAAAACAAAATTCCGGGAGAAAATTTGTCTTATGTTTCTTTTATACCTACCATTAAAACATTTATAGTATGTAGTACAATGCATTAATATAAGTCTAGTATAATATATGACTATAATTCACCAAATACGCATTGAAGTTTCTAAGTTCATAAAATAGGGTGAAAGTCTTTCAAAGGATTTAACATTTATCAACTTAATTGTCTGTCCATGGAAATGACGGTAACGTACATGAATATGTTAGCACGGATATAAAAGTTTTATCAAATTAGCCGAAGTTGATCAGAAAGTAAAATGTATATAGTAAAAAAAAAGGAAGCGAGTTCTTGACAGCGGAGTTGTCGCACAGATATGAGTTTAAAAACTCAAACGAGGGCATAAAATTTGATAAAAGTGCCACTTAAGGTTAATTTTCAGTTTGTGAAAAATAGGTTTACAATAGGTAAGTGCTTCGCCATATGAACAATTATATGACATATATATGCAAAAATCAATAATTTTAGAAACCAACAGCTGCAAATCTTCCAATATTAATTCAATGATTCCTTAGTATAAGGTGTTTGGTTTAAGCGACGTTGCTCGTTTTGAATTGCATCTTTAACATCTGAAAACCGTTTGTACTACTTACAAAACTTGGATTGCGCGCGTATAATACTCTCTTGACATTTTCATTACACTAGCATAAGTCAGTTCATCTCTTAAATTCAATTAACATTCTACTTACTCGCAACATCTCCTAACGTGCGGTTTATTTAACTATGTGCTCTTTACTTAAATAATATTAATAAATACTACTGTAATAAATAATATTGTATCCTAAATTCTTTACCCAGTTACTCAATTTTTCGCAATCAATAGAACGAACTGCTGTTTGGACTAATGCCCATCAAGAAAACAAAGCCGCAGATTTATTCTCACAATAAATCTTCAAACCGCATCTTTTTTACTCCAACTGAAACCTTCACTGACGATGATCCTGATGACGTCAATGTGAGTAATAATAAATATTCCTATAATGCCGACGAAAACTTTGAAATACATATTTCACCAATCATAGTTTGGCAAGCTACTACTTTTGAGCACTCATTGCTGAAATCTAAGAATATGTAACAGTTTCGCGTGAGCAAATTTCAATGGATTCTGCGACATTAACCGATAAGAAGAAGAATATCAATTCTAAGAATGAATTGTAAATTTAAAGACAGTAAGTATTGAACGTGGAGTAATGTAGATGCCTTAAATACAACAGTTGTAGCGACGAGGGTATTACATATAAAATTGTTACTGAAAATGAAACTGTATGGTATATACAGAACACCACGGTTTGATTCCGATTATTTTTTAAAACGACTTCATGGAGTTAGTGGGTAATGTTGTTATTTTGATATTCGGAGCGTAGTCTACAAATAAACAACAATTGTTGTTGCATTATATGGGAGCCGAGACATATAATACATTATGTGACCTAAATCCTGCGGAAAACGCCTGAAAAAATGTCGCATCATCAAATCGTCCAAATTTCACAAGATTATTTTCATACAAAGGTTACTAAAAGTCTAGAAAATTATCGTTTCCATTGATGACAACAAAACCCAGAAGAGAGGCGCTCCGAGTATTTGTTATCAATTAATCGATCAGCATTCGGAATTAATTTTGAAAATTACTTCGTGTTTGACTGAAAACATCAGAGAATTCAAAACTGTTTATTGGAGAACAAAAGTTTAACATTATTTAGCGCAACAAATTCGGCAAGCTCATATGAAGTCGCCGGGAAAGAAGGTATTGCAAAACGCAACAACAAAATAATGTCAGTGTATCAATTCATAAAATTAACAATAAATTGGAAAGGGTTTGAAAAATTTAAAAAAAAGCAAGCTAATCCGCAAACCAAAATCACGATCGATTGCGCAATGCAGAGTCACTTTTGATGTAATAAGGACGAGCATCTGCTAAATAACTTTAAGTATAAAAACGCAATACGCTATAGCTCCAAGGGTGAAGAGAATAAAAAAGCTATACATCGCAAACGTAAGGCTGTAAATAATATATCCGTGCAAAAAAAAGACTGCACAGTAGAGGATTTGCTTCATGTTGAAGTGAGTAGAAATACACGCACGCGCGGAGGCGGCCTCTAAATTTATGGTATCGAGATAATCAAGTAGAAGAGGGTATTTTTTTTTCCTATTCTTACACCAAAAGGAATAATTCGAAATTTTTCCGAAACAACATTGGATAAAGCGGTATGGAGGTATGCTGACAAAGGTGGTATTGAAGAATTGCAAATTAAAAATCGGTAATACACAAGATATGGACCAGCATGTTGATAATTTTTAGACTTATTCGGAAATATCAGAATACTACAAATATGGAAATATTGGGTATAGAGCAGGAAGAGTTTACCTTGCGAAGGGAGATGTTCGTTACGCTGCTTAAGTGTTTATATCCCGCAGGCCTTGCGTCACAAAATTTTAAAAAAAGTTTACATCCTGGATATCTGGTGTGAGTACCATGAAAACCCCGACTAGAGCTTACATATGATGGAAACTGTTAGATGGCGACATAGAAGCTATGGTTCCGAATTACTCCGCATGCTGACGCAGGGGACCCAACCCTCTAATAATACCACTGCACAGGAGGATACGATGAATCAAAATTTTTGCAAGAGTGCACGCCAATTGTTTTGAAATTCGTCATTATACCTATAGGTGAAAGATATTTTAACCAAAACTGAACACTCTTGGGCAATCACAACTAAATCATTCAAAACTAAATCCGCTCACAGTACGAATGACTCCAAAAATAAATATTTTGCCCAAAATTTATATCGCTTTCAAGCACTTTGATGTCAAATTTCTTTGCATTAATGAGAAAAATGTTAGCGCCTTTTTTCAATTCTCAAAATATTGTGAGGATGTCTTCCTTTGTATAAACTATCCACAGTATTAAGTTACTGTGCCCAATGATTTTAGGCGGAGATAAGATCTGAATTTATGAGCTTTATCCACGGTATTAATGTATTCCCAGCAAAACTCTTGAGCAAAGCTATAATTTCCTATAATGCCTTAAACCTGAGTTGAAAATAACAACCTATTTGTTATTGTGGTCAGATGTTAAGTACAAACAGCAAACAAATTTAATAATATAAATTGCTTTTATATAGAATAAAATACAAGAAAAAGCTGTGTATATTAATTTTTGAAATTACTAGGCAAATAGACGAGAATTACATCCTTACAACGTTGGACGTCACCAACCATTTGCCGATTATTCTGAAACTCCATTAATATGACAAATTTTCAGCATGATCGCCGAATACGAATATAAACGAAGTGTACTTCAGCATGTTCTATGAAAATTTACAAATTAAAACAGCATTATATATGATTTTATTAGATGCTTGCAGTTAATCGTAAATAAAATCAATCTAATTAGTTACAACTTCCAAGGTGCACTGTGTAGATTATATATGTAATGCGAAGTAATAGAATTTTCAATTAAATTTGTACAGTGCGATAATCGGCAAATCGAATGGGTTATTTGCAATTCTAAGCTAGTGATTTTTTCGGGCGAGGGGTTTAGTTTGACAATATTTAATGGTGAATTTCGTTTTTATGCATTTTTTGCCGACCTTTCATTTAACATATTTTGTTCTTTATTATTTTTACATTAATCTCCACAGACAGACATATAAAAACGGTAAAAGATTTTGTAAATATTGACGAGGTAGTCAGTAGGAAGTTTTTCTACACTATACTCCTCTTTAGGCCGCAAACTAAATTTTTTTACTTATTGTGGGTACATTTGCGGGCTGCTTACATTAATTTGCTTAGAGAAATGGGAGAGAAAGCAGCAAGAAAATGTGTAATCTAATACAAAGCCGAAGTCGAAATCATTTTTAATTTGTTACTGGTGGCTATTGAGATTGTAACTTTCTAGCAGAGGTTCATTTGCCATGGGTATAGTAGAGGTTCATTTGTCCGGTATACCTCCAAAGAAAATTATAGAAAAACAAATTTTCTTAAAATAATGTATTTTTTCTCTATACTCTAGAAGAGGGAAAGCTCTGGATTAAATAAGAAGTCACTCCAACACGTAAAGCGTATTTTGAACGTCTTGACGAACCTTCGATCTGGACAAGCTGCAATCAGAAGGCGCTCTCTGGTGAATACGCTGTGGGTGACCACACTTCTCTTTCGACATGCAACAGTGTATTCATGACAACTCTTGCAACGTGTCCCCGAGCGTTGCCATTCAACAGGACATTGCGTTTCTTAACTGCTAGTCTGTTTTGGAACAATACATAGTTCAATTTGTGCATTTGACGTCGGTAAACAACTGCATCACACCTTGCTGATCTCACTACATGCACAGCGTAACTTTATGGCCATGAATATTCCGCAGCGGTGTCAATGTGGATAGCTCTCCTAGTCTAGCCGATGACTTTTTGCGGTTGGGATTTCCATACCAATCCCAATATGTCACAGAAACCTTTTCTATTTTTGGCTGACAATCGATAAAGCCGCGATGTTGAAATGGTTCGAAATGGCATTTTCGATCAAGTCGCATAGTAGTCATATTCCTTCCTTGTGGATCTTTTCCATCGCATGTAAAGTTCTAAAAACAGTTGATTATCAGCTGCTAAGCTGTTTGAAAGTTCTTTGAGAGTTCCAGCCAGGTTCGCGTCCAATAAGTCTAACAATTCACTTTCCTCGAACTTTTTTGGCCCTCCAGGCCGTTGTTTGTGAGTGACATCAAAATGAGCACTTTTAAACCGTTTATACCAAAACCAACAATTGGGATGTGACCGAGCAGCTTCACCAAAAGATCTTAA